TGTTCAGTAGATTTGTTGTAGAAAAGCTAAAAAGCCATTCCTAAAGGATTCTAGAGACTGGACATCAACTGCAAGCCTTATTTACAGTGAAATTAAGGTTCAAAATTCTTGCACCTCTTTCTCCTGCCTAAGCGTTGTTTTTGGGTGAGAGGCCTGGTTTCCATCCATCTCTTGTTTTGGTAACAGACAGATCTGGTAGCAGGCTGCTTGCGTTTCCCTATGTGAGAACTGGCTGTCTCACACAAGCAGAATATGAAGGCAACGGCATCTCCCTTGCTGTTGGTATTTGGAACCATGGTGATTCTGATCCTAGAGGAAGCACATGGTGATCCTCAATAGTAGCCAACAAAACTTTTATTCTCCATGAATTTGCCAAATTCAAACTTAAAGCCTCTTTATTCCCCTTTAAAGCCATTGCTTGTGATAATGTGTTTCTTAATTTAACTATGTATTCATTTGAGAATTTGGAATTCTGCTTTCAACAGAGAAGAAGAAACACTTTCTCTCCACCTTCTTTACATGTTTATTTGAAATGTTTCTAGGCTTTTCATTTCTCTTGTTTTCCAAACAAAAATAAACAGATTTGTAACCTTTCCTCATAAGTAACTTTTTTTTCCAGGCATGCAATAATTTGTGTAACTTTTCCCAGCTCTGGAATATCCACTGTATTCCAAATGCAGTCACGTAATGGATTTATATTAAGGCAATCTGATTATACTTTCTTCTTTTGGCCTTATTGCTAAGCCACATTATTAACAATCCCAGGGGAAAGTTGTGGTAATCTTGCAGCAAATAAAATTAAAATCTAGCGATATTTTGAAGACTAACACCTTTATTACGGCATAAACTTTAGTGGACTAAAGTCCATTGTCACTGATACATTAAATGTTATCCTAAGCTACAAGTATATATGTACCTGGGGAAAGGTAAATTGTAAATAGTCAGAGGGCAAAACTTATTACAGTGGCCATTTACAATATGGTTCAGTAGTAACAGAGCCACTGAAACAACATGCAGTTTGTAACCACGATTTATGGCTTAATATGGTCAGTGGACTTAAATGTATTAAATAAAATATGCTAAACTTTTTGATAAATGATTGTTCAGCTGTTTATAATGAACTCTCACTTTTAATTTTCATTGCCCCAGAATTACCCTTCCCACCCCCCACAAAAAAGCTACTTGTGGCCTCTGTTCATCAAATGATTGCTCATTCAATTTATTTATTTAACAGATTTATATGGCCATCCATCTAACCAATGGAATTCTAACGGGTGATCTGGCATATTGTATGGACATGCAGGTGCCCACAGTAGTGCCACTGATCAGAAAACATGCATTCTCTTCAAAGCTGAAATAATCATGGGTAATTACTAAGTGTCCAGATATGCAATAGCGCTACCAGGGATGATATTCCACACGATGTCTAGTCCATTCTTTATGCAGAAAACTGGTGAAATGGGATTCATTATTCATGTAATTAGGATGGCATTTTCAATGGAAGTCAGTGGTTTCTCATCTGTAACTTAGAGTTATAGGTGTTGCATAATCTGAGATTGGTGGACATCCCAATATACTGTGGTGTGCCCAGTTACTTGATAAAACATGATCTTAAATCACTGTGAAAAAGAACAGAGAAATGTCAAATTTGTTTTTCTAGATGGGCCAGTGCAGTTGGTTTGCTTGCCTTTTCCTGAATTAAAATGAACACCAAAGCAGATTTTTGAGTACATTTGTTATTTTATGAGAGCTTAGATTGTGGCTGGCATCTCATGCTCCTATCCTACTTGGCACAATCTATGAAAGTCTTTTGTGTATCAGATTTGGAGTCACTGAATAAGCTTCACTTTTGGTATAGGCGCTCAGGAAGACACAAACAAGCAGGCAAAAATGATGAAAGTCAAGAAGTTGGCAGCTGTCAATGCATCAGGCAGCTTGCGCCACTAGGAGAGCACTCTCCACAGCCCCCTTCTCACTGATCAGCATTCTGCCTCTTCTACTTTTAGTTCCATGCAGGAAGTTATATAACCTCAGCTGGGATATCTCAAGTGTTTGAGATTCCTTTGAAAGTTCACGAAAGACCAGCAGGATGAGAAAAGAATCTTTCAATATTGCAATATTTTTTGCTAACGTGAACCAACATGTTTTCTCTCGTGACTGAGGAATAAAGAAAGAAAAATACCTGCACAAGACTTCAATGTATCTTATTCTTAAAAAAAGAAAAGAAAAGAATTCACCATTGCAATTCTTCTTTCACTCATGAGCTGAAGAGAACAGAAAGAATTTCTATGAATCCTTAGATTCATTAGACTGAATCCAGGAGGGTGCTCTCCTTCTTCCTTATATATTATTTTCACTGGGAAAAAAAAACCAAACCTGCTCACAGCCCATGAGTGATGCATCCAAAATAGCTGCTTGTCAAACTTGAATTGACTGAGTCAATGAGCTGATGAAAGGACATACTAACAGCAGGAGGGAAAAACTGCTCTATTTTTGCATAAGGGATTGTAATGATAAAAAGAGATGCAGAGACAAAGCACAAGGCAGAAGCATATACACTAAAAGTGCATCTAAAATGACAACTCTGTAATTAGCTGGGCCAGTTCAAAATTGGTTAAATGGACCTTACAGTACAGAGAGTTGCAAAATGATTCCTTTTAACAATGAACATGAGAAGTAAATAGCCTTTCTTTAGTGAGGTCTTTTTATTTGTATTCAGCTATGCATGGCCCTTTATTCAATTTAATAGCCGCAATCAGGGCAATACAAGTGGCTTGCATTTTTCAAGCCTCTCAACTGAAAGGGCATGGCTGAATGGCACACGCATACACGTTAGAGCAGTTGTGGTGCCATTTCTCTCAGATGCCTGGCTTAGTGAGAGATTGGAAGCTGCAGGAATTCAACACCATAATTTTCAGTTGCAGTGCTTGTGCCAAATATCTAAATTGGAGGGTTCAGAAATGAACTCTTGTTCAGAAAAGCCATACCAATTACAGTCTGGGTTAAACTCACTGGGTAAAGTTTGTCTTGGCTCATAATTTTCTTATTTATTGACCCATTAGATATATGTCCTACCTTCCTCCAGGAGATTAAAGCAAAGTATATGCCACTTCTTCCCCCATTAGCCATTCCCAATATTTCCTGCTACTGTTCCAAAATTAATCAGGGAGGAGATTAACTGGCCACCGAGAAAACTGGATATGATAGATGGTTGATCTTTAAGTTCTTTTTCTGACCTTGGCAACAAAGAGGAGGTTTATTCAGTTCTAATTTCCTGTTTGAATATACCAAGCCAGGAGGAAGCAACAGTCAGAAAGACTCAGCAGCATTTCTAAAAGCGTAATGGAGGATCTAGAGCCATCATGCCCTCACAAACAGTGAGAATTTTCTCTGCTTCCAGCTGATACTCCCTCCTAAATAGGTATATTCATGGAAGGCAGCAGGGGGGAAAGTGGCAATCGGTTTTTTTGAGATCTCATAAAATGCTTAGGAAAAGGCAGAGGTTGTTGCTAGTCTTTATGGCAATCAATGACTGAAAAATTTATGCACCCGAATAAGCAATGTAAAATAAACTTTCTATAAATCCTTCAGCTATCTAAAAATACATCTACAATCCTATGCTGTTGCATTAATGAGTATGTTCTCTTATATCATGTATATTTTGTAATTTGACAGGTAATTAAAGAAGGACTGTAATGTTACAGAGATTAAATGATTAAAACATTCTGACTGATGAAAATAATGCCCCGATTAATCAATCAGCAGATTTCATTTTTTTCATTTTGTACAAAAATGCAAGTTGTTGTAAAAACTGCAGAATGCCATTTTATTATTTAAACCTTAAAGGAGATTTGAGAGAGGTGAGGCAATTCTTATTTTAAGACAATGTCTCTTTTAATATGCAATTTTAAAATTATATACAATTTTTGTCAATTGTTTTATTTCGTTAACCAACTAAGATTCCTTTTATTGGAAGGTAGCCCCTAAATTTTTTTATTTGTGAAGTGTTGGACTTCAGCCAAAGAGATAGGAATTAAAATCCCTCCTCAGCCCCAGAGCCCAAGGACTCTCTCTGGCAAATCAGTGTTACAAGGTTTTATCTGTGGGAAAAATAAGAATGCATGTGGCATGCTGCCCTGAGCTTGTTGGGGAAGGACAGGATAGTTTAATAATAATACAAAAAAGTTGTAAATTTTATCAGTGCTCTCCCTTATCTACTTTCCCTTTTTCTCACATCAAAACTACAAAGATCAAAACTTCAGTCACCAAACAGGAACACTGTTCTTTAAACATCACTGGGAAGCACTCTTTCAAGTAAATTTCTGAAATTTATTCATTTGTTTTCTTCTTAAATTATACCAATTCAAATGTTCATGTATCTAGGTGGTTTCATCTTCAAGGTAAACTACATTCTATTTAGGTAAATATGATGTCTGAAGATGCATGACATGACAGGTAGCATTTACATTTTTAAATAAAGTGATTAAATAGTGACACAAACATAGTGGTTCAAGACATCCAAAGACTGGTGAAAATTGGAAACAACAACATTTGGAGAGCTATACATTGTTCATCCCTTAACATTTAGAGTGATAATGAGAGTTTCAATATTGAAAAATTATTTCCTCTGGTTTTCTTTATTCCTCCTGTCCTAGGAATGCTGTTATTGAGGAAAAACAATTCATGATCAAGATCAAGGTTTAAGGGCAATTCCATTTCATCATAGGCTCAGCTGTGCCCAATGGTGCCCAAAATGCAGGACGCTGTTTTTTTGACCAGGCCAATTCTTCTCAGGTAAGCTGCTTTTTTTTATGCCTGATCTCAAAAAGCTCTGTGTATGTGTGTGTTGAGGAGGAAGGGTTGGACCTTGTTATTATTTAGATGGGAGACCATCAGGAAATACTAGAGCTGCAGGATTGACTGGAAATTAAAAACAAAAACAAAAATCCTGGAAGACAGTGTCAAAACCACTTTCACATTGTTTGCCAAAAAAACTATATGGACATGTCCATGAAGTTGACAAGAGTTAAACACAAGCTGACAGAAGCTTTGCTTTTACATTTACTTTTTAATTTAATTTAATTAATTTATATATCAAATTTGTCATTGCCCATCTTGTTAAAAAGCTACTCTTTTTCTCTTTCCAGTTTTCCACTCAAATTCTCTGCTACCTCTTTCCAGCACATATCACCTAATTTCTACTTATTGCTTTACATCCTTCTGGTTTTCCTTGTTTCCTTGTCTTGGGAACTGTCATTTCCTAAGCAAGGGAACCAATCACTGCCTATGATCTTTTCCATTCTTAATATCTTCAGCTACTTATTCTGCTTCCCCCAAGACATTGCTATTGCTGTCACCTTTATATCTTATCCTAATAGTTGTGGCATTCCTACAAGTGCGATCTGATCAGCTTTTGTCTATTCACTTGCTCACATCCCACTGCATTTCTACTCCAAAATTAATTCATTGGGAACCTACATCCCTTTTAATCTCCAGGTAATATAGAGCTGTTAACCATTGTTTTAGATCTTAATACTGTATTGCTTTCTTCTTCACCTTGGTTCTACTTCTTCGTGATCTCACTCATAATTCCCCTCTGTTCAGCTCTTTGGCTTTCTCTTTTGACCTCTGATTTAAGACAGACTCTCCAATGAATTGCCTTATTTTTGCCATCATGAATATCTGTTTTGTCTCTGTCTGATCATCATATTCTTTTGAACACTACAAAACCTGTTTCTGTGTTGTTACTTGCTTTTCTAATGATGTCCATGCTACTGATCCCATGGTAGACTTGCTCCACTTTTCAAGTTTAAGTACACATAACTAAAATAATGAATATCATTTCTTTAATTACTTTGTTCCTGCAGCCATTATTCCTCTCCTCAATTGTGTTAAATGTTCAATTCTAAGCTTCTTGGGAACTATTTTCTTCTATTCACTAAGCCACAGATGTGTGACCCTTTTTAAACTGAGCTTTCATTTGACCTCCAAGTGGCATACTAGGGAGCTACATAAAGAACTGGTGGAGCTAGCATAAAACTAAATTTGATTTGGTTTAAATGTAAGTAAAGTTAATATATTTAATATTCTTCTCCCTTCTGTTTCATCAGAAAGTACAATTTCTGGCAATTTCAGGAGGAGGTCTGTACTAAAGTCTGGTGTTAAGCTCTAAACACCATGCATACTGATAGTAGTTCCATAATTTCAAAGATGACAAAATAATATAATATCTTGTAATTGAGAGAAGAGTTTTCATACTCTAAAGCATCAGGTTCAAGTTCTGATCATATGAAATTGCCTTATATGATGTCAGGAGGCCCATTTATCTAGCCCAGCACTGCCTAACCTGACCAGCAGTGGCTCCTTAGAGTCATTCCCACTTTTGCTACCTGGGTCAAAGATGGAATCTGAGAGGATACCCAGGCAAAACAGCCACTTTCTCACTGAACTATAGGAGCTCTTCTAAAACCACAACTATACTTCTAAGTATTGTTACTTTTTACATATGGTTCAAGAACTCTGCAGCTTCACTAAGAATTAATCTAGTCTGCCATCTCTAAGTTCAAGGATATGGACTGTTCATAATTTTAAAATGATTTCCTTTACACTGCAGCAGAAAGGATGGAAGACTCTTCTGCAAAGTGGGAGGTGGAAGAAAAAAGTCATGAGGGGGAAGAATCCCCCTATCCTTTAAAAGGTAAGTGCTGAAAGTAATGGGATTTTGTGCAAGTTATGAATTTTAAACCACTTCCAGAAGCTATGTTGTTTGCAGCTGGATATGAGCTGTTCCTGGCTGAATATGAATAAGGGAGGCATTGGAGAACTGCTTTTGGGTCAATCATCTTTTGCTTATTCTCAGTTTCTTTCTTTGACTTAAACTCTTTTGAAACTCAGGTAACAAATTAAACTTTTTTGAACACCTGAAGAAGACAATGGGGAAACATCAAACTTTACAAAAGGAGGAATTGAGACACTAGAGTATTATAAAAGAGGTGATATAAGGTGCACAATTTTCATCCTCAACAAACAATATGTCCTTTTCCTTACGTTTCCCAAACAAGTAAAGATATTTGTCAGTTTGGACTGGTCAACGTTTCTTGTTCTTTTGTAATTTCACTTTTTAATGTTTTTGAATTTGGCCATGTTGCAGTTTTTCACCATTATACTCACAATGTGATTCCTAATTTGCTTGGATCATAATCCCAAGAATAATGAAAAGCAACCACAAAACATATTATATGTAAGAGTAGCTGCAGTATTGGTGATAGGAAGGGAGGAATGAAAATAATAGGTAGCAGACAATTTTAAAAACAACTTCTTCCTAACTCCCCTTGTGAGCTGGTAATATTCACTTTAGACATTCAGTGCAATTCCTTCTTCTTGAAAGTTCTACCAAATATAATAAGAATATAGGTCAGACTATTCGTCCATCCAGCCGAGTATTATGTTGTCTGATTGGCACGTCCTTATATCATGTGTTCCTTGATCCTTCTACCCAGAAATGCCAGGACTTGACTCCTTATTTGCAACCTATCATAGTTTCGCCTCTTGTTTATTTTCTAATGATGATGACAGGTGATTTCATAAAGGGAGTGGCACATACTCACACTCCACATCCATGGAATCTTTAATCTGAGTTGTCCACATCATTATTGTGCAATTGACATCATGATACAGGGAAAGCAGCTATACTAAGATGGTGGTTGCTTATCCTGCCCAAAGAGCTTAAGTGATCATTGTAACGATAGCAACTTATGCTAGCTTATTGCTTGACAAGATTGCTCCCCTGACTTTTTTACTTACCTGGGAAAAAGTGAGGTACAAACTAAATAATCAACAGACAAATTAGAAAGGAATGCTGCCAATTACAAGAATGTCATTTTACCAAAGTAGTGAATTAAAAGGAGACCATAGGCCATATAAGATGACCTGCCTGTTTAATAGCTCAGTTATAAATTCCAATCAATGTTTGCCTTCTTTCACTTAAGTTTGTACATAGAAAAAATATCCTAATTCCTTGATAGAAAATTGACACACACTCACATAGTTATATCATTGCACATCTACCTGTTCCTTCTCAAGAACTTTTAATCATCATTCTGGTGCTTTACTCCTTCTTGACATGACAAAGAAGTTGGCTTGGAGCAATTGCTGACCTTTTCATCCTGCCCTGTAGATTAGAAATAGGCTGGCTTGGAAACTTTTAGGCTTACCTATCAGAGAATTCAATGATGAATAGGAGCTGACTCTCCTCATCTTGTCAATCGTCTCAAAAGACAAGATATATTCTTCATTTTCAGGGCTGCCCAAGGTGCTGCTGGCGCTGCTGCTGGTGCTCAGGTTCCCAGGGGAAAATGCAACAGAGCTCCCAGCTGTTGAATAAGAATAAGAATGCAGACACTGAACAAAACATTTATGCAAGGACTATGCTGAGTGAAGTATGAATACACATGGAAATTTGGGGGAGAAGGAGAATACAGTGGGGCAAAAAAGTATTTAGTCAGCCACCAATTGTGCAAGTTCTCCCACTTAAAAAGATGAGCCATGATTTGCAAATAAATTCTTTAAAAATCAGACAATGTGATTTTCTGGATTTTTTCCCCCCATGATTTGCAAATAAATTCTTTAAAAATCAGACAATGTGATTTTCTGGATTTTTTCCCCCCATGATTTGCAAATAAATTCTTTAAAAATCAGACAATGTGATTTTCTGGATTTTTTCCCCCCATGATTTGCAAATAAATTCTTTAAAAATCAGACAATGTGATTTTCTGGATTTTTTCCCCCCATGATTTGCAAATAAATTCTTTAAAAATCAGACAATGTGATTTTCTGGATTTTTTCCCCCCATGATTTGCAAATAAATTCTTTAAAAATCAGACAATGTGATTTTCTGGATTTTTTCCCCCCATGATTTGCAAATAAATTCTTTAAAAATCAGACAATGTGATTTTCTGGATTTTTTCCCCCCATGATTTGCAAATAAATTCTTTAAAAATCAGACAATGTGATTTTCTGGATTTTTTCCCCCCATGATTTGCAAATAAATTCTTTAAAAATCAGACAATGTGATTTTCTGGATTTTTTCCCCCCATGATTTGCAAATAAATTCTTTAAAAATCAGACAATGTGATTTTCTGGATTTTTTCCCCCCATGATTTGCAAATAAATTCTTTAAAAATCAGACAATGTGATTTTCTGGATTTTTTCCCCCCATGATTTGCAAATAAATTCTTTAAAAATCAGACAATGTGATTTTCTGGATTTTTTCCCCCATTTTGTCTTCATCTTTTTAAGTGGGAGAACTTGCACAATTGGTGGCTGACTAAATACTTTTTTGCCCCACTGTACTTGGCCTTGAAGTAGTGTCCACAGGCCACATGCAGAAAGTCTGGTGACCAATATTTATGTATGTATTTAACAATTTTTAAAGCCTACTCAAGTCAGAAGACTCTGAGAAGGTTCCAACATGTTAAAATGATAAGCGTAACAGTAGTAATATAGCAAATTACAAAAACCAGCAGTAATAAAAAATCAGCTAGTAATTAATCTAATAATAAATCATAAATATTGAAAAAAAATTGTGTAGTTAGCTAGGCTCAGCCCCAGCCTTTTAGAGAATTTGAAAAGGTAAAATGGATTCCTTAAGCCTTGCAGAAAGTTAAACCACCCATTCTACTCAAGACCCTCCAAATTTAAAAAATGGGGTTGATTCTTATTTTTTGGCACTTTAAGAGGCAAATGCCTATTTTGCACCTTAAGCCCCCGCCCCAAACACAAAAGAATCTGGTTCTTTAGCTCCATTTATTCAGTTAACTACCCTTGTTTACTTGGTCTTCAATCTGTTAACAAAGGTAAAGAAAATGCCACAGTATTTTTTTTCTTGCCAGTAGCTAGAGTCATATAACACTGAAGAGTTTCAGTACCTGGGCCCTCTACTGGTAAAAGGAAAAATGCAACTTATTTGGAGAAGATTGCTACTATTGAAAATGCATCTAAGAACTACTAACATTACACTGGAGAAAAGAAAATGTAGGACAGGTGGAAGGAAAGAGAAGAGGGCAACTAGCAGCAAGGTGGCTGGACTCAGTTACAGTGGCTAAGAGTGCACCACTGGAAAACCTGAAAGCCTAGGTTAGGGAGAGATTGTCATGGAGAAGAACTATCTATGTGATCACTAGGATTGACAGCAATTTGATGGCACATAATCAATCAATCAATCAATC